CCCCAGGAGAGCCTGGCGGGCAGGCGCCCCCTCCGCCGCCCCACCGCCGGTGACTTCAGCCTGACACTGCGCAGCGTGGAGAAGGGTGATGCCGGGGTGTATCACTGCCAGGTGCAGGAGTGGCAGCAGCAGACCGAGGGGAAGGACAGGGCTCTGGAAGCCCAGGCGCACTCAGGGTACATTTGGCTCACCACCATCCCACCAGGTAATGCTGCTGGGCGCGAGGGGCTGCTCACCCTGCACCGGTTCCCCTTTAGCCACGCTGGGGTGCGTGGGGGGGCATAGTAGCAGCTCTCTGCTGGTGATGCTGGCTGCAATGGCAAGGATGCAGCAGGACTGGGAGGACTTGCTAAAGGATTGCAGCAGCGGTCAGTGCTGGGGAGATCGCCAGAGTTGTGTTGGGAGCCAGGGGAGGGAGGGGAGCCCTTCGAGGGAAGGCAATGAGATCCCAGTCCCAGTCCCATCAATCTGCCAGGGCTGAAACCCAGGTGCTTGGCGTTGTAAACATCAGAGGTGGTGGCCAGATGAGACACCAAGAGCTCCAACTGTGAGGCACGGGTTCCAGAGGGTACCATTGAGTCCACTTGTGTCTGCAGTGCTTTGACTTGTGGGCTCTCTGCGGGACCACGGGCACAAACCCCTGCTCTCAGTCATGCCATTGGAGCCAGAATGCTAACTGTTTTGGGCAAAAAATTCTTGCTGTGATTTTTCTGGCAAGTCTATCTCCAGTGAGGTCTCTAAAAACAGCCTCTGTCCTCTTGGGGTGAGTTGGGGTGCATGCCGGATGCAAAAATAGAGCTGGATTCTGCATACAGAATTTCAAATAAACAAAAGGAAAGGTTTCAGTCAGGCACACACAGTGTTTTTAGGGAGGTAACAAGCAGGAAAAAAGTACTCTCTTGTTGCCTCTTCGGGGAAATAGGAGGCTCGGATGGCCCACGTGCTGCGAGGAATCCTGCAGTTCTTCTCGTGCCTTCAGTCTTGGAGTTGCCATGCCTGAAGCCAGCCTGGGTGCCCACACGTGGTTGTAGCTTCTGCAGCAATTACCAATGCTGACTGACGTGGAAGAACTCAGGGGACCCTGTAGAGCCCTCCCTTGTGCCTGCTACTGGCACAGACATGCACAGAGCCTGCTCACATGACTCTGCACCTACAGCAGAGCTAATCTGAATTTAATTGCACAGGGAAGGACTGACAGCACTTCATCCCCCTGCTGTTATGTTGCTGCTGTTGTCCATCACGGCTCCCTCTAGCACCCAGATTTCTCCTTCATCAGCTCCCTCTGTCTCTTGTTACCTGGTACTGGTGGAGTAACCATTGCTAAAATTGCTCAGTAACTGCTGGAAAATTCTCCTCCAATAGTGTTTTGGCCAAGTAGTTTTCATGGTTTTCACAAAATCCAAGAGATGAGCTGGGTGGGGTTTTTTGTTGTTTTTTTTTCTTTGTGTGTGTCTCTGTTTCTCCAGTGATGCAGGTATCTCAAAATGCCCCTCTGGCTCACATATTTCAATGTTTTGGAGTTTTCTGAGGGGTAAGGAAACAGCCATGTGCAAGTATACCTGTAACCAGGAGTAACTTCATCTCTAATCTCTGATGCTCATGCTGCCCTTTAGGATACTTCCCTAGTACTACAGAGGCATTCATATAGTGGAGACTTCACCCTGTTTTCCTACAGGAGAGTAAATACTGCTTCCGTCTATATGGATGGGGTGCAGAGCTTCAGAGGTAGAGAGGTAAAAGCCAGTTTCACAGCCAGGAGTAGCCCCCAGGTTGGTTCATCCCTAGGGTCACACCTAGCTCACCAGCCTGTGTGGGTCCCCCATGGACAGCTTCAAATCAGCAGACCCGCAAGCTCAGCGTGGTTCTGCAGAGCAAGCGTAAAGCATCTGTGCATGGGTGTTGGGTGAGGAGGAGAGTTGAGGAACAACACTTTGAGGTGGATAAAACAGACCCAAAGGAATTGGCATGACCCTTCATGGTAGGCCAGGTGCATCTGAGGTCAGTCTGTGGTGTTGAAGCTGTGTGCCAAGTGAGGAGATTTTGATGGCCAGGATTAGTCAGTGGCTGTAAGGAGCCCGGGACGAAAATGGAGAGCCTGCAAATGAGAGCTTTTCAGCTAGCATGGGGCTGACCAAACCCAGTCTTTTGTAGTACCCAGAGGGTCTGCCAGCAGTACAGGCAGCCTCCCCCTCAGCCAGGGAGCTGTCCTGCAGGAGCTGCCGGGGATGGGGCTCGCAGCCACCTGCAGCTCAGGGTGGCTGAAATAGGATAGCAGAGCGGCAGAAGCAAGGAGGGGCAGGTGTCTGGAGGAGACAGGGACCTCCTTTATCCAGTTTCCGTTGCTTTCCTCTTGTCCCTCCTTGTTCTGTGGTGCAGCCTCTGGCAGACCTCTGCCTCACCCCACTGTCACCTGGTGTCGGGCAGGGACCCAGGGGGAGGAGTACGTGGCTTCTCCTTACTGAGCCCAGCCTGGAACGGGTTAGCTGAAGAGCCGTGCTGTTTATGTTGGGATGCTTCAGCTGAACAAGCTGGGACCCTATCTGACCTCCCAAAACAAGAAATTGAGGCAAATTACCTGGTTTCTCTCCCCCTTCTCCTCAGGTAGCCAGTATGAATTCTTAAAAATTGGTAGGTGTTGAAGATTGAGGGAAAAGTGATAAGAAGATAACCTATAGAAACAGTAGGAGAAACTCAAACTAGCTTGGGGCATCACTTACTTTTTTTTCTTTTCTTTTCCCTTCAGAGTCAACTGTTTTTTCTAGGATCTGCTCATCCCCACCACTGCTGAACTTCATCCTATACTTACCGCTGGTCCTGATCCTTCTCCTGGCCCTTGCTGGCTTCTGCTGGTACTTCAAATTCAGAAAAAGCAAAAAGGGCAATGTCACAGGAGACCAGCTGATGGAACTGCAAGGGGCTGGAGAGGTCAGGAAAACCTAGCTGGTCTATAATGGCGGGTGTAACTTGAAGGAGCGGAGCTGGACAGCTGAGGAGGACTGAGTACCTGCAGAGGGGCTTTTTACTGTTTTGCAGTAGCTCTTGCAATGAATCCTTGAAATCGCATGTTTACTTTCAATGGAACGAAGCAGCTTTGGATTACTAAGCAACTAGGGTTTTCATAACAGGTGTTCCTGTCTCTTAGGTTAGGTACCCACCCGTTTCACATTCTGTTCATTGTGGTATATTTGAGGTCCTTGCAGTATGTGTCTCCCAGTGTGGATGGAAGTGCTGTTATTCCCCTACAGGTATAAGGGAAAAACCAGCTTTTTTTGCACTGCAATACAAAAGTATCAAATTGCTGCTTATTTTAGGTGACCTGGTAAAATCTATGTGGTATGCAGACTAAAAACCAGTGGCAGAGCCTGAAATGGAGTGTTGGTGACCCATTTAAGGCATTGCACTTGCCTTTGCCCATCCCTTGCCAGGGAAGCTCTCAGACACTGTTCCCTCGTTCTGAGAGTGCCTGTGCCCAAAGAGCATCTTCTCCAAACGGAAATGGGTCTTCATCACAAAACCTGTCATAGGAAGATGAGGACTGAGCAAGGCTGGCTGGGGCTGAAGAAAGTCCATAGGAGGAGCATCATGGTCATCCACAAAAAAGGAATCCTGTTGACCCAATAAGGGACTCGCATGGAGTCTTGGATCCCAGAAGGAAGAAGCAGACACCAAGCCATCTTGGAGATGACTGTACAAAGACTTTCCAGTTCCTTCCTTTGCTGGGACTGCTGTAGGAGAAGACAGCATCCAGCCCCGTGTGCCTGGGCTGTCTGTGGGTCAGGAAGCTGCACAGCTGGGACCTGGTACTAGGCACCTCCAGGTTGTACCATGTAATATATTGGGATGCAAGCAGGATCAGCCACCAGCAGCTTACAGCACAGGAGCAGCCTATATCTGTAAAGGGTTATGTGTATAATGTAAATTAGGGGTGCTTCTTGAGCTGAGCTGCTGCCAGAGCTGGTACCAAGCCCCCCATTGCCTGGAGAGACATCCTGGCAGACTCCCAACTGTGCCTTAGGGCAGTATGGAGAAAATGTGTAAATCCCTAGGGCTCTCACCTGCATATAGAAGAGGTCTTACTGGTCTGCGTGCTGGATGGACAATGAACCCCTGCACCTTCCCTCTTGGAGAGGGCCTTCCTGAGCATGTGCTCCTTACGCTAGCTGCAAAAACACTTGAGTCCTCCTCCTAGCTGCCACTGAGTCACATGCAGGCTGTGCCCCAGAAATTTGGCATGAGAAGCCAGTAAGACACTGTCTAAGGGGTCTGTTCCTCCTGGCAAAGCCATGTGTATGCTTGTGGGGCAGCTACTCTATGCCCTGGGATCCAGCTCAGACTCACCTTTTCAAGGCTGAAGAGCTGTGCTACCTGAAGGCCGGCTGGCTGATGCATTAGAGGAAAGGTGCTCAACCCCTAACTGTGCAAAGCGAGTCATGGTCCCAGCGGGTTGTAAGATCAGGTGTCAGGGCGACACTCAAAGCACCATCCTCAGACAAAAGCAGCCATATGGAAATCATGGCAGATGTTTATGGACCTGCTTCCTTTGACCAGAGGGAGGGTTGGAGACAGCACAGACCCTCTACATGATCTGTTCAAGTCCTTCACTTTCCTTACAACTAGAATCATAGAATCATAGAATAATTAAGGTTGGAAAAGACCTCTAAGGTCATTGAGTCCAACCATCAACCCAACACCACCATGCCCACTAAACCATGTCCCTAAGCGCCTCATCTACCCGTCTTTTAAATACTTCCAGGGATGGTGACTCAACCACTTCCCCGGGCAGCCTGTTCCAATGTTTAACCACTCTTTCAGTAAAGACATTTTTCCTCACGTCCAATCTAAACCTCCCCTGGCGCAACTTGAGGCCATTTCCTCTTGTCCTTTCGCCAGTTACTTGGGAGAAGAGACTGACACCCACCTCGCTACAACCTCCTTTCAGGTAGTTGTAGAGAGAAATGAGGTCTCCCCTCAGCCTCCTTTTCTCCAGGCTAAACAACCCCAGTTCCCTCAGCCGCTCCTCATAAGACTTGTGCTCCAGACCCCTCACCAGCCTCGTTGCCCTTCTCTGGACACGCTCTAACACCTCAACGTCCTTCTTGTAGTGAGGGGCCCAAAACTGAACACAGTATTCAAGGTGCGGCCTCACCAGTGCCGAGTACAGGGGCACCATCACTTCCCTGCTCCTGCTGGCCGCACTATTTCTGATACAGGCCAGGATGCCATTGGCCTTCTTGGCCGCCTGGGCACACTGCCGGCTCATGTTCAGCCAGCTGTCAACCAGCACCCCCAGGTCCTTTTCCGCCAGGCAGCTTTCCAGCCACTCTTCCCCAAGCCTGTAGCGCTGCATGGGGTTGTTGTGGCCGAAGTGCAGGACCCGGCACTTGGCCTTGTTGAATCTCATACAGGTGGCCTCGGCCCATCGATCCAGCCTGTCCAGGTCCCTCTGCAGAGCCTTCCTACCCTCGAGCAGATCAACACTGCCGCCCAGCTTGGTGTCGTCTGCAAACTTACTGAGGGTGCACTCGATCCCCTCGTCCAGATCACTGATAAAGATATTGAACCAGACCGGCCCCAAAACTGAGCCCTGGGGAACACCGCTTGTGACTGGCCGCCAACGGGATTGAATTCCAAGAAGCTGTCTGCCCTGTATCCCAAGGAACTAGGAGGTGCTTCAGTCCCTTTCTCCTTGAAAAAGCACTTTTTGCATAAGTTTGAAGACTTACTGCTCCCGTTTCCCTGTTCAGCCACTTCCTCTGTCTGTACTGGTTGGCTCCAGCTTGCTCAGCCTTTCCCTGCGGGTTAGGTTTTCCGGAACTCATGCAGCTTTTCCCTTTGCTGGCCTGACCCCAGCTGTCTCTCCCACTGCGTGAGTGCTCAGAGCTGCGCATGGGGTGCTCTGCAGAGGTTTCTCCACTGCCTTCTGGGTTACATCCCGTTACATCCCAGTAGGATGTTTGATTTTTCTGTGTGTGTGTGACAGCGCGGCACTGTTTGCCCTTGGCTTGCAATCGGCAGGCTCCTCTCCTGCAGGTTTGCTGTCTAGCAAGTTGTTTCTCCACTGTGTGTTCAGGCTGTTGAGTTTTCCTATCTAATTGAAACACCATTTGCATGGGTCTGTTGAACAGCTTTCTGCACCAGTTTGCGAAGGATCCTGCTGTCTGTCTGTCTTAGTCCTGTCTTGATAGTGCTTTAACTCATGGACCAGTTTCAGTCTGTTTTGGCAGAGGAGCAGATGCTCCCAGGACATTAAAATCCCACAAGTTTCATGAAAAGTGGTAGCTGGATGAAGAAGAGGAGGCAGGTGAGTTGTCCCACCAAGGGAAGGCTGCAGTGTGAGTTGCCTGACAGCCAGCCCTGAGCCAGCTGTACGCTGGCTGCCTGGCGCCCAGGTCATAATTAGGGGATACGGAAAGGAGATGTAAGAGTGTTAGGGCATGGGAAAGGAAAGAAGGAACCATTTTTGACCATAAACTGTTAGCAATTTATCTGTGCGCATAGTTTATCTAACAATTCTGTGCTGTCCCTCAGTGTTTTTGTTTGGATTGTTTCCTTAGCTTGCCCATAAGATTACCTTGGGAGCATACTTCACAAGCCTTGGTAAAGTCAAGAATATATGATGCCTACTGCTTACCCCGTCCCACAAGGCTTGCAGCCTTCTTGCAGGGGAGATTAGATAGGTCTGACATGCTCTGTTCTTGTTTAAAACAAACCAAAAAAAGTTTCTTTTCTTTTTTCTTGCATTCTTCTAGGTGCTTGTAAGTACTTTGTCCCCGTATCTCCCTGAGGATTGTAGTTAAGATGCGGGTGTTCAGTTTCCCATTCTTTTTAAAAATAATTTTGCCCTTTTCTTGTCACTTGGTGTCTCACACCTCCTCAGGTGTTACCGCAGCAAACCACTAACAGACAGCTTGACAGCCCATTCTTTATGTGACTTAGGATGAACCTCATTAAGACCAGCCTTCTGCTCAAAAATCTAACTTATTTAGGTTGCTACTCATTACCAGAGTGCTGGAGTGGTGGTGTGGGACATCCCCTACCCTGCTGCAGCAGGTGTGGGTCAGCGTCCATAAGCCATGTGAGCCCTATGAGTGACTTGGCTGGGTTTGGTGCATCCCCCAAGCCCGCGCTGGCTGCTCCCTCGGCCACCTTGGCACTCCATTGCAGGTCTGTGGAGGCATCTTTGCTGCCATCTGATCTTCCTGTAAAAAGCTGCAGACTCTACTGCAACACAGGTTTTTTATGTCTGTTGGACTGGGGGAAGAAGGTGGGCAGAGAGAGGGAGGTTTCTCCATCAATGGGGCACTTTCTTCTTCTGTTCTGTTTTCGCTCAGTTAACCAGAGGCCTATATAAGTAGCAGCTTTCTATTTACGCAGGTTTATAGGTTTTAATTTAAGTTTGTAAAGTGTGCCTCGGGCCTTGATGAAGGGGTCTGCAAGAAGAATGTGTGTTTTTGCAGTGGTGGGTTTTTTCCCTCTTTATTTTTTTTCTGGCTTTGCTGGATCACAGCCAAACTTTTCAGCTGTATTTTTTTAAGATGTATTTTTTTCCATGAGTGAACTTAGAAAGAGTTGTAACTTATCACAGCAAAAGTTCCAAAACAGTCCTATTTTTAAAGAGAACATTTCACTCGGCTGAGTGAGTATGAGTATGTGTGAGAGGGAGAGAGATGTGTGTGCGTGCTGGGTCAGGGAATGGTGTTGATTTTGGTGCCGGGGCTTTTAGCTACCTTCACCCACGCCCATCGCCACCTTTTTTCCAAGTCCAGCCTCTGATGTAAACTAGAACAGCTGATAAAATATATGTTTAGCTGTTACAGCCCCGTGGGGGAAAACAGTGCAACAGCGCAGACCCTGCAGCACAGGAGTGCCGCTGTTGCACCCTGTCCCCCAGATGCACCCTTGCCCAGGGAACGTCCTGTGTGAGGGCAGCACGCGCTGGG